ACCAACAATTATTTATCATTTAACAAAAATTTAGAAGTTAATCAAAAAATTTAAAATAGCCAACTTTTGCTTACCAGAGATGCCCACAATCGTACCGAATTAGATTTTTAAAATTGTACTTAGTTTACCCGTAAACATTAAATAATACGCGCGAGGGATTATGTTATTGACTGTATTTGTATTGTATATATCTGTGCCGTGGGCTGAGTGTGACCTAAGATCAGCCTAGGTATGTGTCCAGTTATGTCATAACTCATATCATTATCCTCTAGGCCAGTCCATATGACTCCTGGCATTTGAGTTGGTTAGTTGAATTCTTAATTAGCTTTTAGAAACGTTTATAGATCTTAACATTTAGTTTTTAATTATAATAATTTTTGTATTTAAAGAAACATTTCGATTAAACTAATACACTATTGCTTCAATTTAACAGTAATTATAATGAGACAAAGACGTTGGCAAAGGTCTGTAAAAATTGATTTTATTAGTGGTACGTAATCTTCGTGTAATAATGTTACATTAATTATACATACAATGAATTTGTCTGTAATTATCCCATCCGTCGTTGTATACATTAATCATAAGTTATGATTCATAACAATTTTATTATATAAATAATTATCCATTATTTAAAAAATTGCGTTAAATACAAAATAGCGAACAAATAAGTATTATAAAGTTTATATTACTTGACATTTTAATCTCATTAATTTGTATTAACAATTATTTATAATAATTAATTCTGATTTAAATGTACTGCAAAATGACGCCAATATCTGAAGGAACAATCTTCACATTTGTTACACATTAATTGTATAACATGAACTAAAATGGGTGTAAAAGTATTACTAATATATAAAGCATTGATTCTTAGGTGACAAAAAAAGTGTTTTAGGTACTTAAAAAGTTACTTAAAAATGACTGCAAAGGTGATAAAAAGTTGGTAAAAAGTTAAGAAAAAGTTATTTATTTTGCATCAAAATTGTATATTACAAAGGTTAGTTACATGAATTTTTTAAATTAAATTGTAACTTTAATTCAATAAGTAGCACAAAATACAATAAGTAGCATAAATGAATGCCAATTGATTTGTAACATTAATACCCACAACCAATTCTTTCAATTACTTTATAAAACTCGATTCTTCGCTATCAAATTGATAAATAATTTTTGAAAATCAATCAAAATATCCATGTATGACGTATAAAATTTGCAAAATAGGTGAAAAGTTACTAAAAAGTTACTAAAGGTGATAACGTCCCAAACGGTGCTAAAAAGGTGAAATAAAATTCTCTTAATATACCCCCAAAGGGGTATATCGTGTGCCCCCAAACTTTCAGGAGGTTCTCCGCTGTCGGAAGAAAAAGTTATTTAACTTCAAATCAATGCTTTACTAATATACATAGCATTGCATTATAGTTAAATATAATTTTCCAAATAGTCATTATAATAGTTACGAAAAACACCCCAAATAGTTACTCAAATTGTTATTTATAATTTGACAAAATAGGCTTTAAAATTATATAAAATGATACCAAATGTCAGTTGCACTCTTTAATACATTAAATATAATTGTTTTTAAGTTAATTCACTTGTATTTAACTAAATTAACTGTTGATCAATTTTTAATTATTTTGGTCAAAAACATGAATACATACAACTTATAATTTTGGTCATACCATCTCGTTGAATGATAAATTATTGCAATATTTTATAATAACATTTACATTTATCATAGTTTACTCTATTTAATTTATTCTAACTAACAAATGTAAATTAAATTGTGATTTTCTTTGTGTTTATGCTAAAATATATCAAAAACTTACAAAATGTATTAAATAGTTACGTATAAGGTAATCAACGTTCAAATAGTTACGAACGCCTCAAATTATTAAATATAGTTAAAATAATCTTTCGGTAAACTGATCATATGATCGGTTCATGATCGTTCATGATCGGTTCACATCCCGAGTCTGGGGGTAATGCTATTAACCACTAAAAATAGGTGGTATAGTTAAATGCAATTCCTTGCTAATATGCAATTGATTTGCCAAATTAACCGTGTAAAATACATCGCTCGTAATGATTAAACAACTCACACACAGCGATGCTATGCGTTAACCACAATTTGGAAAATGCATCAAACATTTTAAATTTTTTAATACTATTGTTGGAATACTTTCACTATTATTATTTTGAAGATTTTAAATGTTTTTGACAACAATTAGTTCTATTTATTATGGTAGATTCATTTATAATCTCATTGTCCCATTGATATACCATTACACATGTTATCTTTATGCCATGGATTAAGCATTACCTTTATTATCTCTATGCCATAGACTTAGCAGTACCTATGTTAAAGTATAGTAATAGACTTATGCTGTAATCTCATGTTAACTCTTCATATACTCAAAAACCCCATGTTAAAGTATAGCCATAAGATTAACACGGGATACCATGTTATTTCCCATAAGGTGGGTGAGGAGGCAAAACGATCCTATAAACCACATTAGGCATTGTTCACATATTAGGTTCGCACTTTTTCAGAAATCTAGACCCCCTTTGTTCGCAATTGTTCGCATGTAGCCATGTTCGCATGTCCCTAACACCCCACCCCCCATTGAAAACATAGAAAACATATTTGGAAATAAAACTATTTCTATTGTAAAGTCAATATTTACCTAAAGTTTGTTTTCAAATTGTTGTTATCAAAAGATTAACTATAATCAAAATTAATCCCTTAAACTATTTAAATTGTTTAAATGCGAACGTTCTTCAGGGCTCTAACCCTCCCCTCCTTTTCGTTTGCAAAAGTTCGCATTGACCCACCCCCTCCTCCAAAGTGCAAACGTAATATGTGAACAAAGCCTTATTTATACTGAATTGTGGTTATAAATGACATAATTGATGGGATTAATGATAAGCACTGCCAAAACTTGAATCAACGATTCATTAAATAAATTCATTAATTTTGGTTGTGATGGCACAAATTACAACACAATGAGTTAACAAAATTCAGGATGCTAATTTTGCCGTTAGCAATGCTAAATAAGCAATAGAAAAAATGTTCAAATTTTATGAGACATGCATTTTTATACACACGAAAAATAATAATGAAGTTATTCATGACATCAATTTTTGTTATGAAATGAAATGCAAAACTAGTGAATTGAAACATATTTGCATTCAAATACAAAACATTATCGTTATATTAAAAATACTTGAAAGCGGACGGGGTAGAGGCCAAGATTGGATTTAATGACAACTCGATTACTACCTTTTTTTTAAATAATTTAACAAATTATATTCTAAATTTTTTTTATTAGTTCATAGTAAACATTATTTTTATTTTGTCGTGTTAAATTCCGAGCACACTTTGTTTCTTTAATTCGTTGACCTAATCAAATATTATAATGTTATTTATTTTTGTTGCACAATAAATAAAGTTGTGTTATATATAATCAATACGTGTCAATCCTTATTTAGAATCTTTTATAATTGCAATAATTATATATTTATTATATAAATAATTATAAAATAAAAATTAAACATGTATCATGTATTAAAACGGTAATAAAAATGTGTTAATATTTTACAAAAATTTTAAAGTGATTCGTGTTCTTCTGCATCAATTAATGTTTATTTTTTAGAAAGCACACACATTTTTGAACGACATATGTTCGAAAAAATTTATTTTAATTTGGTTTGATAAATTGAATTTATAATAATAGTCGTCATTATTAAAGGGTAATAATAGGCACTGGGTAGGTTAGGCGTCGTTCACAAATTACGTTTGGACTTAAAAATCTAATGTCCGGAGCTCCCTATTGTTTTAATTAAGTGTTCATGTTCAAATGGTAATTAAATAAAGTACGTTTGCATGACCCGTTTGCGATCAAATTTGTATACAATTAATCATACTCATACACTATTACAAACATACAAAACCTTAATATTATTCATGGAATATAACTATAATCTATTTTATAATTAACTTTTACCATTAATCAAATATTGACCCAATTGTCGGCCAATGATGGTGTGTTTGCAATAATATGCGATACTAATAAAAATTAATTTCACAATAATTATTTTTATTTATTGTCGATATAATCATTTCTAACATGTATTTTAAAAATATTTTTTAAAATAAGATTTAGAAAAATTACTCAATATATTAATTAGACAAATAAATATCAAAAATATTCAAAATTTACAAAGTTTCACGTTTTAAAGTGTCACTCTAATTAAAAGTCGGAAAATTGTCAAAGTTTACTATGTTATTCTAACAGGTTACACTTTTCTTTCGTATCAATACTTTTCTCACATCCAAAGACTATTCATGTGAACCTGTATAATGTATTATTCTTATGCTATTTCTTTACTCCTCTCCCAGAGGGTAGTTATATGATTTAACAGGGGATCCGATGTTCTTAATTACATTTATAAGATTTTTAGCAAGTGGGTTTCTAGCATATAGGTTTCGAGCAAGTGCTTACGTCCCTAGTGAACGTAGTGTAACATAATATTGAAACATTTAAATCTTTAATGCAATTACCAAGTTGTAGTTAACACATATCATCCGGTGTGATCCGTGTTTTATTTTATTGTTAACCTTATTAATGTCATGTGCAATTAAAATAAATATATCCGCATCAAATAATCTAACAATTTTAAATAAATACCTTGGCAATAAATAGTACTTTACATATATTTCATAATTATGTTAAAGATATTAAAATAATTTAACATTATACGTTTATAGATCATTTATTTTTAATTATATATTATAAATAATTTTCAATTCAAATTAATATGCGATAACATGTTTAATGTTATATTGAAAACTATATAAGCCATTGCTTGTATAAGATTAATCATTATATTAAGCTATTAATTTCATTCTATTGCAAATCTATTATTATATATTGTATTACATGTAATAAAATTATACATATATAATAAAACAATAAACATCAATCAATTATGCTTTTGAGAAGCAATTCTAACGCTAATAAAATCTGTGTTTCGGGAATGAGCGGTCGGTTTCCTCTCTCAGACACTACCGATGAATTCGCAAAGAATCTTTTTGAAGGCGTGGATATGGTTACCAAAGACGACAGTCGATGGCCATTAGGTAAATTTTAATTTACATTTTCTTAGATTTAATTGAGAACTAGCTAATACAGATTCTATCAAGTGTATTAATTATAGACATCAAAGCTATGTTAATTCTGAAGATTTATCATAGAAAATAAGAACAATTTATTTCATTAAAAATTTTAAAGTCAGGTTCAATAAAGCATTGAATCATCCAATATGATAAACATTATTTGTATATAAAATTAAGTATCTTCTGATTTTGCGCCGATTTTTCATAGGTGTGATGAATTTAGTAATAATTCCACTTGTTTAAATTTAGGTCTATTCGATACATCCAATCGAATGGGGAAAATTCATAGTTATCAGAACTTTGACAGCGGATTCTTTGGGCTTATGGGTCAAACGGTGACAGAGATGGACCCACAGTTACGTCTGCTTCTAGAGGTGTCATACGAAGCCATTCTAGACTCAGGTTTTTATAAAGTTTATAAATTAATTATTAAATTAAATTTTAAATTATATACACCATAATCATCAATTGTCGACACAGTATAATCCCATAAAACTTAATGTAATCTGAATCAAATATATTTACCCAAAAGATATTATATTAACACATAAATATATTAATAATAATTAAGGTTAAATCAGATATATGGGAATAGTTGTCAAATATCATGTTTAATTTTGTTCACGAATAGTTACCGCCAGCGCACCGTAAATATTGTTAAATTGAACGGACAGCTTAGCTCGGTGATCACTCAGCTCTGGCCAACTAATATCATTAAAGATAATGTTCCGTTCCAGACCTATAACAGAACCGCAACACAAAATTAATATTTAGAAGCATTATTGAAAATGTGTGATTGGTTTTATATTTAGAAATAAAAAGTTTGTGAAGATAAATCATTAAGAATTATTCTAATTGATAGGTAAATATCAAATGTATAAATTCTATTATATAAATCTTTATTATAATCACTGGCCAATACTAGCATCTCATCAACTCAACCGGTCCATTATTTAGTATAACACGGTGCGTTAACAAATTTCAATTGTGGCCAATATTAAGCATGACTTTTGAGAATTATAGCCAATTATCCGATCTAAATCATGATATTATGTATCAATAACTTTTTAATAAGATTAATATATTTATTAACATTTTGGTAATCACATTTGATTAATTTTACATTGAGTTCTACTTGCGAGTTTTACAATTGCGGAACTACTGGGTCGACAATTAATAGTTCAAGTATAAATATGCAATCTTCAATCTATTTCTTACATTAATGTATGCCTTTTCGGTCGTTTAGTATATCAATAATCAATAGACATTAATAAATATATACAGAAGTGCAGCTCCTGGAAGGTTAATTCAATGCTGTCTCGCATTACACCATTGCGATACATTTTAACCTTTTTATATTATTAAAAATTATATTTGTACAAAATATAGTAATAAATAGTTTATTTAATTATAATAAATGACCACCATGTTGCAAAAGATGCATTTTATGCATCAGCGATTTTATGCGGGAGTCCCTAGCCGGACAGCATTGAATTAACTTTACATGGGCGATAGCTCTGTATATAACGTGACCAATAGATATAATAAATGAATTTTCAAACCAAAATACAGGCGTTAACCCGCAATTACTACGTGGTTCAAACACAGGTGTCTATGTAGGCGCCACCTCAAATAAAGCATGCGATGGATACCCGGATTACATGCAAGCGGATGTAGACGGATCGTTGGACTTAATAATGCATCAGACAATGTTTAGCTCAAAATATTTCTATCCAAATCGTATATCATTTGCTAACGACTTTAAAGGACCTTCACTTTTAGTGGACACGGCCTGTTCATCCAGTCTATCAGCAATGACAATGGCCTATAATGACTTGATGCTAGGTTAGATTGCACTTAGTAACATTATGTAAATTCAATATGATTATTTGGATAATCGTGTTAATAGGCAATACGGATGCGGCGGTTGTGTGCGGCACTCATATGGTGTTTGAGCCGTTCGTAAATCAGATTCAAGAGGAGTACGGTATTTGTTCGCCGCGCGGAGTATCCGCAGTGTTGGACGAGTCGGCCGACGGTTATGTCAAGTCAGAGGCCGTGTGCTGTCTGTTTCTACAGCGCCATAAGGACGCCCGACGTGTGTACGCAGAGGTAATGTCCGCACGAGTGAATGTTGACGGGAAAAAAAAGATGGGAATGTTTTATCCATCGGCCGATGCACAAGAGCAACTTATGATACAGAGTTATAAGATAGCTGAAATTGACCCTGCTCGCCTAACATATTTTGAGGCCCATGCAACGGGAACCAAGGTAAATAACCATCATTTACTAAAGATTTGTGTATTAATTTGGTACGTTATACAAAAGGTATGATATCTTTTACAATTGTATAATTAAGGTTGGTGATCTGCAAGAAATTAAAGCAATATACAATGCGTACTGTGAGAACAGGACTGAGCCCTTGCCGTTGGGGGTGTTAAAGAGCAATATGGGTCACTCCGAGGCCGCCTCTGGGATCCCTTCCGTAGTCAAAGTGTTGATCGCTTATGAGAATGAATGCATTCCTCCGAACATTAATTTCAATAAATTAAAGGGAGAATTAGAGCGATATTTTCCACCATTACTGGTAGTTATTAAAAAACATCTATATAACCCTGGTAATATTTATATTTGCATAATTTTTGTTTTTATTTACGGTATTTCCTGTATTCTGTGATAATTCCTGTATGTTTAGCGTCGCTAATTGTACACTATATTTCGGCTCTAATATATAACCATATGTAAACTAGTGATTTGAAAACTAGAATTTTGGGTATTGCTATAGAGAACAATACTTAATATTTTATTTATATTATCAATATTGCCTATATTTTAAGTTTTGCAAATACTGTATTTACCAAATATTAAGAATATGTAAATTCAGTATTGTATTACAATTCTCGTTAATTTTAGTAGTACATTGTATATTGCAATACAATATCTCTAATTTAAACTCAATCAAGTTTGTATAATAAACATCAAAATTAGCGTTAAAGTGAATGCATCGGTTGGTTCGGAGACCCGCTAGCACTGGCCAGTAATTATCATAAAAGTTTATAAGTTGGAATTTATACATTTGTTATCTAGCAATCATATGAAATAATGATTTCCCGCCACACACTGTTCAGTTACAGACCTATTACCGAATCGCACCCCAAACCCCGTATTGAAAAGCATTATGAGAAATGTGTGATGTCGGTGATAGGTCTGTAAATTTTCGGCGGCGATCGGCACTAGCGGACAAAATTAACCAAATTATTTTTGAAAACTTTACCCAACATTATTATAGACATCTTGGTTAAATATTTTTAAAAATAGATAACTTTTAACTATGATTATTTTGTTTTTTAACTTTTATTTAAATACTTTTAGCGCACTTTACACTGAAATCAATGGGAAATCCTTATGAATATATAAAATTTATAGTGTAGTTTAAATTATTAGTTGCCAAATTGTTAAATGCTAATCCATTTTTATCAAATACATTAATAAATCACTCTAATTCATACATTTACTTTGAAATAACATACGATATATTAGTAATAAAATATAATGTTTGACTTTCAAATATTTCCATATAAATGTGATCACTATGGCCAATCCCACGGTTTTATTACTATATGAAGTTTACCTCTCGACTATTAATTGAGAGAATTTTCTCTTCACAAAAATAGCTCTCGAATACAGGTTATCACAAATTTAAACATTGTGATTCATAATTATATTAAACAATGATTTTGATTTAAAACGATTTACATATATTTAAATAGCATATAACAACGGTAATAGTAGCGATTATAGTGTATCATAATTCATTATAAATAATACTGTTGCCGGTTTCAACCTTATTGTATATGTTAATAAAATTTTTGAATACTATTGTTTTAGAGAAATACTGTATTGTTTGAACAAGGTTCATACAGCAATGCTACATGTTAATTACAATTCGGGTATTTCTTAAACAAGCATATATTACCATAATCTACAAATTAAAATAAGGTCAAATGAATAGCATTATCCATAAATATAACATTACCAATAAATCTAAAATTATCTATAGAGTTAGCATTACTCATGTTAACTAAATGTAATAGCCTTGACCTGGAATCCTATAGAATCCAATGTTAAATTTCCCAACTTCCCCATGTTAAGTTTATGTCATAGGTTTAACTGTAATTCCATGTTAAATCGCATGGCGTGGGAAAAGTGGATAACCTACTAATCCTTTAATCATAATATTCATAACTTAATCTATGTTAATAAAACTGTAAATAGGTTTGGCTGCAGTAAACAACTTCGGCCTCGGAGGTGCGAACGCACACGTATTGCTCGAACCAAATCCTAAAGTTGGAACCAGTGATGGTTTTTTAATCGCGGAAACGATTCCCAGAATTGTTAACATTTGCGGCCGAACTGAAGATGCGGTCAAATATGTCATGGATTTCATACAAAACAACCCAAAGAGAGTGACGAATGACTTTTTGGCACTTTTGGCACCAATTATGAGAACCACACCCGATGTTAATTCATCCGGAATGCCGTTCAGAGGTATGAATTAAAGGTTTGCCATCAGAATTGAATTTATTCTAATAATTATAATATAGGATCCATTATAATAAAGAAGATGTCTGAAACAAACAATGAAATTAAATATAAGTATAATCGACAAATGGGAGTAATTAAAGGCAAAATCGTGAGACCTTTATGGATACTGTTCCCGGGTTTGGGCGGTCAATGGCCTGCAATGGCTAAGGCTTTGATGCCAATCAAGATATTTGCCGATAAAGTGGAAGAATGCCATCAAATACTACATGAATTCGGTGTCGATTTAAAACACATGTTGTTATCAGAAAACAAGACATCAATGGCTTCAATAACATCAAAGTTCTGTTCGACGACTGCTATAGAGATAGCATTGTTTGAAGTGATGAAAGCGCTGGACATCACACCCGACGGCATAATTGGACACTCGTTTGGAGAGATAGCCTGTGCTTACGCTGACGGGTGTCTAACCACAAGGGATGCAATGGTCGTCACGTACTTCAGGGGTGCCATCACTGAAAATGATAAGAAAATACCCAAAGGATTAATGGCCGTCATCGGGCTGTCAAGTGATGAAGCCATAAATGTTTGCCCTAAAGGAGTATACGTTGTCTGTAATAATGCTAAAGATAGTGTCGTTTGTTCTGGTATTCTCATAATATCACAAACATCTTAGAACACAATCGTTTAAAGAATATTTATTTTTAGGTTCAATGAATGAAATGAAGTCATTAATCAACACAGTAACCAAAAATAGAGTATTTGTGCGACAATTAGAAAGCAGTGAAATCCCATTTCATACAAAATATCTGATAACATCTGCAAAGCCTTTGACTGACGCCATTAAAAAATATATACTAAACCCGAGATTCAGGTCTCAGAAATGGGTGTCCACTTCACTCATGACTACCGATCCCGACGATCCGGCCTTGAAATACGCTTCGGCCGAGTATTTTGTATACAATCTTCTAAATCCGGTCCAGTTTTACGATAGGCTTAAAGATCTGCCTTCGGATGCAATTGTCTTAGAATTAGGTCCGCATTCTGTGTTCGGCAAAATAGTTACCGAAACACTCAACAAATGTATTTATGTATCGCTCATTAAAAAAGATTCAAACCATACAAATCTCGGAACTCTATTCAATGGATTAGCAAAGTTATATGAGGCGGGCGTAAACATGTCAGTTGAAAATCTTTATACAAAAGTAGAGTGGCCAGTTGTACGAAACACACAATCAATTAGTTCTATCATTCGATGGGAACATAAACAACAAATTCCTTTTAGTTTATACCCTAAAAAATATGACCGATCGACTGCTAGTGATTACAATTATACATTTGACCCTGTTAATTATCAAAAAAATAAATTTTATTTGGAACATTGTGTTGACGGTAAAGCCATATTCCCAGCGGTCGGCTATATAACACTCGCATGGCGTAGATTAGCAACAGGTTTGGGACGTCACTGGTATGACGTGCCCGTAGTGTTTGAAAACGTACAATTCAAACGACCCGTTTTTTTAAAAGACTCGGCAAAAACTGTTTTTACTGTGAGATATTTTGCCGCAACCGGTTTGTATTAATAGTTATGAATAATATAAATTTCAAAATTAAATGCGATATTTTCATTCTTGCATATTGTTTCTATAGACGATTTCTGTGTGTTAGAGAGTGATAACGTATGTGTTGTAGGAAAAATTCGGGCTCCGGACCATGAGGTGTTATTAACGCCTAACGCTATACTTGAGAGACAAAACATGATGGCTAGTATTCTGAACTCACTTGATAAGGAAGATATCTATAAGAAGATAAGAGTTTTGGGCCTCGACTACGGACCGCACTTTCAACGCCTTAAATCGATTCAAACAAACGATTTTTGCGATATTTATGGAATCAACGAATGGAACGGAAATTTAGTCACATATTTGGACGCAATGTTGCAGGCGATGATATTTCTAAATTCTAATCGTTTGCTAGAGGTTCCGGTGATGATGCGTGCGGGTCGTTGTGACCCTCGAATTTTATTTAATGCACTAAGAGTGAGACATAAATTAAATCGTCATGATGATGACACATCTAAGCGATTATCTAAGTTGGGAAGTGTAATATCGGACAACGATAGCGCTCAATATCACCGAGAGTTAAATAACGAAACCGATCGGTTTAATCGCCGTTTCTGCATATTCTCTGCTGAAATGCCATTTTATTTCGATAGAAAAACCAAACGATTGGTTGCACACGGCTTAGAAATAGACGGACTGATCACTCAACCAATATCGCGCCGCAAAGAAGTGGAGAATCTCGTATTAGAATCGTACGATTTTATTAAAAATGATGATTTAACTGCTATTGATGCAAATGATTGCAATGTAGTTACAGAATATATTAAAGTAAGCACATTTACAAATAACAATTTAATGATATACACTAGGGATTAAAAAATTATCATTTTTGAGTGCCGGGGCCGTACCGGTTCCGTTAAAATTTACGACATTTAGTGCCGGTGCCATAAAACGTGCCGTTAGTGCCGGTGGTGTCGGTGGTTCCAATAGTGCCGGTGCCGATAGAGCTTCTCCATACATCTTATGTGTCATAAACTAAACGCGTAATCGCGTTGATGTATTCATAAATATCTATTAAATAACAAAATCTACTTAAATGTTAATTCCTTCTGATTTAATTATAGTTAAAAATGTGAAAAATTTTTAATTAAAATGTTCGATTCAGTGCCATTATAGTTCCAGTAGTCAGAACTAGTGCCCCGGCCTCTGCACCATAGCAGCCCAAACGATCATACAAACTACATTATCCATAGCTTAATTGTGGTTACAAATTAATTTAAATACAATATATTTATAATACAATTATAATTTAACTCGTTTTCTAGTGCATAAAAAATTAATTAAAATTATTCTACTAATTATAATTTTATGGATGAATATGCATTCGAATTAATGATGTTATTTTACGCATAATATTCATTTCAATTTTGCGTTACATAAAATATTACGCAAAAATAGCTTTTAACCAAATAATTAATTAGTGAATATTAGTGTTAATTAACTGTAAATTTACAAATTTTTAAATATTAATGACATTCATTTTACTTTAATGACAAAATTTTAATTATATTTTCAAAATTGTTGTCCGAATCATAAATACTGAATTTTGCCTTATTGATACACTTGATGGCAAACAACAATTAATAATCATTTGTATATTACATAAAAGATTCAATATATACGTTTATTTACGTGTAATTTACTGTAAATTCCGAGGTGATTTCTATATCAGTAACGACAGAAAGTGGAAAAATAGTGCCACTTTTGTGTTATTTAACGGTTCAAAAAAATCTGATCGCCCCGTTTTTTAAATTACTCCCAAACGAAATGAGGATCTAGTTTAGACATATGACATTTTACTACCAGATGTATAGATCAAAAAAAACTGTTTTTTAATAATTTTAGTGCACTAGTCTTGTAATTTTAAAAACCCATTAAAGCTTTACCGTACCAAAATTGTTACTTGAAAGAGGGGTCGGAACGGGCGGGTATGCTATTCGATAGAGAAGATGTCAAAGTGTATGATAGCAAAGTTTGTTAAAAATTAGTCAAGCCATCTACAAAAAATTGTCAATTTTATTAACATTAGGTCTATGTGGAAAAATATTCTTGAAGTCAACCTTTTATGACAACAAAAATGTAGTAGAAAAATTGGGCTATTTTTGGCCAAATATTATGTCGAATTTCTTGAATATATTGTTCGCTACGAAAGAATACTTATTTGATGTTTATGAAATATTCATATAATAGACAATCACCTCTCATCTACCCAACCACATACCCGCCTTCTTCCGACCCATCTTTCAAGTGGGCTAAGATCATGCCCTTTCGAAATGACCCAAAAATTTTAATGTTCTGATCACGTGATTTCAATGATCACATATATATTACATTTGTGACAACATCTTAAAATTATATCATGTCATGTATATTTTGAAATATAATATTAATATATATACCTATATGACAATATTATGATAAGCAAAAAAGATTTAAATAAATAGAAATAACTAATTATATAACATATAGTTTAAGGTTTGCAAATCAATGGCTGCAATTATATTAAATAAAATTGAATTCAGAGTAATGAAACTTGATTTAAAAAATCAAAATATTGACGAGAATTTAATACAAGAGTATAGAAATGCAAACAAAAAAAATCATGTTTTGTTCCGCATATTTGATAAAATGCTTAATGAAACGAATGATGAAAACAAAATAAATATGAAAAACACATTTAACGAAATTTGTGATAAACTCGAAAACGATTTGAGTAAAGATATAATAAATCAGATCCAGAAGAATGAACGACTCATCCGATCGCTCGTTGATATCGTTTGCGAAAACTTTATAACAAATAAAGAGCTAAAAGTGACGGAAATAAACATGACTTCCGGATTATTGGCCACAGAAGTTGAACAAAATATTAAACAATTCAAAATCTTTCCATTTGATGTTGACTATAATCTTGTGGTGAAATCACAACAAAATATTCTTGAAATCTATAAGAGTAGGTCTATTGAATGGGATCCTAAGGATAATATTTTATTAAAGTCTTCGCATTTGATTATATTGAGAGACACACAAGACTTGTGGCAAATGGATTTGCAGTCATTTATTCAGGACATTTATGATTCTCTTCAAACACATGGATTTTTATTATCTGTATTTCGGTATAAGTTTACGGAACCGGAGATTGCTTTCATGGATTTTACAGAACAATCACTGATAAACGACACCCAACTTAAGGAACGAATTCAAAACTTTATGTCAATTTGCGATAAATTAGATCTGAATCTAATTTGCAATAAATCTGATTCCATCTCAAGTCAAAGCTTATTATTTAAAAAAGTTGTAAATAATTACAAAATTCCCGATAAAAATAATATAATTAATATTAGCGGCGATTATCAGCAATGGTTTGAATTATTAAAACAAAGAATAATTACCGCTAAGGACTCAGTCAATTCGACAGATAATATATGGCTTGTATCTCAAGACTCGTGTATTAATGGAATATTAGGTTTAATGAATTGTTTGCGATTGGAATCAGGAGGAGAATGCTTGAGATATATCTTCCATATGGACACCAATACTGACACTAACATTGACTTCAATACTAAACCCTATTCTGATATATTAGCCAACGATTTGGTAGCAAATGTTGTCAAAGGAGGAAAACTGGGAACTTATAGACATATTAAACTTCCCGCAGATTACGATAAAATTGAATCAAATGAATATCATTTAAATTTTGGACAAATCCAAGATTTAGCTTCTCTTCAATGGTATAATTCACAAAAAATTCCTGATCGCACCGAATCTTATTCAGTAAACAACACAAAAATAATTAAACATAAAGTCAATGTTTACTATTCCGGCTTAACATTCAAGGATGTAATGCTTGCAACAGGTAAAATACAATTTTATTTACAATTTATACAAAAACTTTCAAAAAAAACTGTTTTTAATATAATATTTAAAAAATTCCTTTATTTTATACAAAACACACTTAAAATAGAATAACATAATTAAAGAATTTAATTTAATCTGAATTATTATATAATTTATAAAAAATTAATTTAGATGATAAAATCTACTATGTATTATCTGCAATTCTTGTCAATTAAAATAGTATTGTGTACATATAAAATGTAGCTCTTTAATACAACATTAATTTATATAACATAAATTAAAATCAAAATTTATCGCATTTTAGTCATTCGTATAAACGCTAATTTTTATGTAAAGAGGTGATCAGTATATTCCGACTGAGCTAATTGTTTGATATTTTAAAAACTATAAAAGATAATTTAATTATGTAAAATGTATATAAAAGTCTTATATACGCGATACCTCTTGAATATTTTTGGTCAAATAGTATACAAAAGATAAAACCAACGCCTCAGCCAATAGTTCAGCGAATTTTTTATTAACTGCCCAGATGAATTTATGATAACACTAGATTTTGGGCAAAAATCAGCCCTATAATCCTGGATTCCTAGATATTTTACTATTTTTTTTATATTATCTTGGATTCATAAATATAATGTTAAAAATATTTATACAATTCTGGACAAACCATCCAATTCCGGTACAATCCAGACAATTTTTGGACATCTGGCCAGTCAAATTTTATCTCGCAATTATTAACATTTTAATTATATTGCATATTATGTTATTTAAGTTAGATTAAATTAAGTTATGACATGGGTATTTTGGTAAAGCAAGGAGGTATATATTTAAGGCAACAAAGTTCTTTAATTGCACATAATAATTATTTTTTGCAATTGGAATAGTCTAGTACTAAATTAATAAATATTATTAGTTGAAATTACAATATCTACATTTAAATATAAATAACAGGTCGTATACCACTTCGAGCTGAAGAAACATTTTCTGATTGTGTTTTGGGTACTGAATACGTGGGCCGTAGAGCCGACACCGGGGAACGTGTGATGGGTATGGAATTTGGCCGGACGTTTGCCAACTCTGTTAACGCCACTGATAAGTTTATGACTACTGTTCCCGAGCACTGGTCAATGGCAGAAGCGGCCACTATTTTGAGTACTTATAGTACTGTTCACTACGGGCTCATAAAAAAGGCTAACCTTAAAAAAGGTTTGTAAATATTTTTACAATAATGTAAATATTAACATTAATTATATTAAAAATTATTGTTTACATTATAGCCGAAAGTATTCTAATACACTCTGCGGCCGGAGGTGTGGGTCAGGCGGCTATCAATGTCTGTAAACATTATAAATGCAATATCTATGCGACGGTTGGGACGGAAGAAAAGAAACAGTTTTTGATAAATAAATACAATATACCGGAGAATAAGATATTCAACTCAAGAGATATACTCTTCAAGAATCAGATAATAAAAGCAACGGAAGGAAAGGGAGTCGACGTTGTGTTGAATTCGCTGACGGGTGAAAAACTAAGCGCCGGTTTTGATTGTCTGGCGATTAGCGGCCGGTTTGTAGAGATTGGAAAATATGATATGATTCAAAACAAACAGTTAGGAATGTATGGCTTTGTTGGTGACATTGAATTTATTGGTGTTGCCGTTGATGCTGTTATGATGAATGATCATGGTTATTTTCAAGAGTTTAGTAAATGGTTGCACAAAAACTCGATGAATCGTTGCGTAAACCCTTTAGATTACACATGCTTTTTGGCAAAAGACGCGGACAAAGCTTTCAAATACATGACAAGCGGTAAACACATCGGAAAAATTGTTATCAAACTTAGAGACGAAGAGAAGGAAAGAAAGTCATTTATGAAAATAAAATCGGTTCTCAATCGTGTGGTAACCGTTAAAACCTACTTTAACCCAAACAAAGTCTATATTATAACCGGAGGTTTGGGTGGTTTTGGTCTGGAATTAATTCCATGGATGCAATATTCCGGCGCCCGAAAGTTTGTGGTAACCTCGCGATCAGGTCTTGAAACTAAATATCAAAAGTTTGCTTACATCCGTTTCAACAATATGTCAAACGAATATAAATTTTTTGAGAGAGTTACCTAACACAGCTGACGGTTACCTAAATGTTCACTTCCGTGTTTTGTTGAAAACTTACTTCGGTTTCTCAACCCTGGGTAACCTCCTTATAAAGTAAACCGTCAATTTAACTTACTAACAGTTGTGTAGATTTATTTCGGATTAGTGCTAACTTTAGTTAAAACAATATTTATTAGTCAAATCACTTTAAAACAATTACAAATTTAAAACAATTCATTTAAAAAGCATTGAAAACAAGTTATAGGATTGAGAGTTGAAACCAGTCTGTGATATAATTTTAATTAACATTTACTTGTTTAGGAAAACATACGGTAGTTATTTAATTAATAATAGTTTCTAGAAGTAATTTAATTAGTGTTAGGAATTGAAATAATAGGCGGCAATTTAGAGCATAAAATTAGGCAAATATAGGCAGATTATGTGGTGTTGAATTTATTCATCACA